AGAGCTTTTGTTTTTTTTTTTTTTTTTTTTTTTTTGTAAAGAAAGTTGCTCTGCTCCCATGTGAATTTGTGTGGCTTCCTCATCCATCCCCAGAGCAGCTCAGCCTCACCAATGAGGCCACGTCTAAGTTCAGGCAGCCACAAGCAGTCCAGGGTGCTCCAGCATGACACAGCTACCATGATCCTCGTTGTCTGTATGGGACTGGGGAGGACAGAGGTGGCCACTGAGCTCGGTCCCGGCTCTCCCTTGGAAAGCTGTGCAGCAGACATGGAAACCTATCTTCCCCAGTGAAAGATGGGAAGCCACCTATTCACTTTCCCAGTCTCGTTTGCAGCTAGAGTTGGACATGAAACCTAGATCCCCCCGATGGCATGCAAAAAATTTTTAGGCAACTACGGGGAAGTTTGGTCATGGTTGATAAAATAAAATAAAATTTAAATTTAAAAGGCCTTTCTGCCCATCCTCTTTCTTCTTGCTTGGTATCATGGTATGAAGATACAATGTCGGGAGCTGAGGCAAACATCTTGTGAGCATGAGATTACAGGATCGCCAATATAGTACAGCAAGTAGAGGACCTCAGTCATGGGCACTGCTCCCAAATCTCAAATCCCACCTTCAGGGTTCTAATTATGGGAGAAAAATAAGCCTCTATTTAAGTTGTCACGATGGGCACAGGAAGATGATCATAATCTTAGCCCCTGGAACCTGTGGATATGTTAGATTATGGGGCATCAGAGAATAAATGTAGCAGGTGGAATTGATGTTGTTAGTCAGCTGATTTTAAATGAGATTATCATGGATAATCAGGATTGATTCGATATAACTGCATTAGTTGGGATTCTCCCAAGAAACAGGATCAGTAGGATACCGTGTGTATATGTATGTGTGTACATAAATGTGTGTGTTTTAAGAGACAGAGGATATCCCAAGAGAGATAGTGATTTATTTTAAGGACTGGCTCATAATACTGCGGAAGGCTGGCAAGACTCACACACTTAATCCTAGTGCCCTTGAGCCTAGCACTGCACCATGAATCAATCCCAGTGTCACACACGCTAGATCCAGCCTCCTCTGAAAAAGCCCCTCCTACGACTACATGAGGCTTTGGGGGAATTTACACACAAGCCACAACAAGGAATAATTAGGTAATGACCATTAACCATTTAGCACAGTACCTGACATGCAGCACACACTCACTATGTATTAGTCCTTATTGGCGGTGGTGTTTTTACTCATCACAGTAAGTGTTCTGAAGAGTTTGTTACTCTCACCATTCTGCTGCCGAAGACACCTGTTCAAAGGGGTCACTTAGCTCACTTGAGATTTCAGAGCTTGGCAAAATGTAATCTTGGAGCCTGGACTCACCTGGGAGAATTGAGGCAGTACACACAGGCTCTCACTCATGATAATTATTGTTGTCATTTCTGCTGCCCTAATTTATGTCTATTTATTCTATCACCATCCACCCAGTGGCATCTATACATATGTCAACTCCTGTGCTGAGCAGGAAGGACACAAAGATGAGAGACAGATACCCTGTGCTCAAGGCCTTGGCAGCTACTAAGCTTGTATTTCCATCAATTAATTACAACAGTGCAGGAGACCTATGAGGGCCGGAATGGGGCACAGTGGAGAGTAGAGACCCTCTTCCCTCTCTCTGCCCTACTGGAGGTATTTTTATTCCATGCAGTGGATTCCTTCCCACCTCCAGCCTTGCCTGCTGCTCCTTCTTTACCACTTAGGAAGGCACTGTCCCTCATTCCCTCCCCTGTCCTGCCTTGGATATCCCACCCATCCTTCTGAGCCCAAGTCAGATCCCTGCCCATACATCCATGACCATGGTGTGTTCCTGGACAGCCCACCTGAGCTTCCTCTGAAAAACTAACTTAGCTGCCCTCCCCAGGGGTGATCATCTAACGGCTTGGTAACCAGCTGTCATGCCCCTGCCTGGTCAGAAGGGATCCACACCTAAGCAACCAGAAGGCTCTGTCCATGGCTCACCACTGAACAAGGATGCTCCGAGGCCGCTCAGCTGGTACTGGATGTTGCTGTTTTGAATGATGAATATTCTCAAATCTTCCATGACTTACGGCTAGCAGCATCAGGTCCAGCATTTCTGTGTCTCTTGTGTATTTCTGTGTCTTTTCCCGTATGTTCAAAATCAGCTGCCAAAACTCCACACAGAAGGAAAGGGAGGGAAGGGACAGTGTCACCAGCCTCTGTCCCTTTGACCCTACTTCCCTAATACAGTATCTTATTGGCCGCAATGGTGTCACATGACCGTGTCAGCCTCTTGGGAGGTTTGTGTGAGGGCTAAATGTTTATGACCTCCCTAAATTCGTATGTTGAAATTCTCACCCAAGTTGTAATAATATTTGGAGGTGGAGCCTTAGGAGGTGATTTGGTCATAAGAGTGGAGCCCTCATGAATGGGATTAGCAGCCCTAGAAATGAGGACCCAGGGAGGCCCTTTTTTTCCTTTATACTGTGTGAGGTTCCAGTGGAAAAAGTGGCCTTCCAAGCAATAGGCTGTCACCAGACACTGATTCTGCTCCCACCTTGATCTTGACCTTCTCAGCCTCTGGTTGTGAAAAAGCTACCCAGGATAAAGCATTTTGTTCTAGAAGCCCCAGTCAAAACAAGATAGTTGGGAATAGAAACATTTCCTGTTCACAGCTTGCCAGGTGGCAGCCGGCTAGGAATGAGGGGGCTGGAAATGGGCGTTATGTTAGGTGGCCTACCGACAGTGCCTGCCACACCATACCTGATTCCATCAGTCAACGCATCAATCAATCATCTAAGATAGGGCTCCTACCTAGGCAAGGCCACAAGGGAATCTGGGGACCTAGTTTTCAGAATTAGTATGGCCTCTGGGCCACACCCAAGGGAAGTTTGCTCCCAACTTTTCTGAGGCCCAGTTTCTTTCCCTCCTCCCAGCCCACTGGGGGCTTCCCTTGAGTGTGGAGCCCATAACAGACAGGCAGGGGTCTGTCCCTCAGCTGGTCCCCGCCCCACATCCCTTCCATACAAGATTGATAATGAAACCAATACCTTTCACCAGCGTAATTTTCATATTTAATGAGCGTGACTCAAAAACTATTACATTAATTAGTCAAATCCCACAAACCGTTAATGGTGCACGCAGTAATTAATATTGTATTCAATTAAAAATGACCTGTTTTGGGGGGCTGTTTCCAGGTTGAGAGCATGGGGGGCTGGGGTGCTAAGGATGTGTGTGGCCTTCTTTACTGGCAGTGCTCTCTGGCTATGGCTGCTCTTTCCCTTGTGAGGCACAGAGGGAGAAGGTGCAGGAGCGCCACTCTCGCTGGTGGCTGGTGTCCCCTCTCTTTGGTGCGCTCCCCCTCCGCTCTGTCCCCTCTGTGGAGACGACAGCGTACTTGCTGTGATTTATGGGAGGGCCTGGCACAGGGCTCACAGACTGGAAAATTTCCAGTTTACACAAGAATTCCCTGAAAAATGAGCTTGGTTAATTTATTTCTTTCATTAACGAGTTCAAACTGGGAGATAATCTTTCTGAGTACCCCTCCTGTGCCACTTTGCATTTTGCATTGTTCATGGATCCAGTTGGGCTGTGCCCTCACCTCCCCTCTTGCCTGCAGGGCAGTGGGCAGGCTCTGGAAGGGATGGGGGGCTGGCCTCAGCGGTCTCCATCTGGGACCCATATGTTGGGACCAGGGCCCTGGGGACAATCAGAGATCCCCTTCTCTTCACCCCTGGGAATGAGCAGGAGAGAGGCTCAGAATTAAAGTAGCAAGGTCTGGGCACAGTATTGGCTCAGTGTGCTCCTAGGGGGTTCAGTTCTCTGCCAAGGCTCTGCCAAGGCAGCAGCCAAGAGGAGTTGAAGTCAGAGCGCTCATCAGTGCTCTGGTGATGCAACACAACTGGAGGACAAGGGCCCAGCCTGGCCCTCAGGTATGGCCAAGGACAAGATTGCAGGGGGCTCTGAACTGCAGCGTTCCCACTGGCACCCCAGTCCCTACCCCAAACCTTGACCCTGCTTCCCAATAGCTGCCTCAACACCCTGTATCAGACCTGAGGTCAGCTTTGCCCTTCCTCCCAAGAGAGGACCCTGGAGAGAGGCCCACGCCAACACTGGAAGCTGTTTGCTGTCAAGTGCATGGGGAATTCTGAGATTGCAGAGTATGGTCAACACAGAGGGTACAAACTGGACTCCAGGATTCCTCGTCCCATAGGAGAAGCACAGCAAGAAAAGAGGGACAGCAGAGACCCGGGACAGAGACCCCACTGATTGGGCTAAGGGCAGGCCTGATAAAAAACACAACTCAAACCCAGAACTCAGAAGGTTAGCTCAAAACTGGAGGGGCAGCATGGAGCCTGCGTGGAGAGCTGGGCTTAGAAGCAGGACCACCTGGTTGGAATCCTGTCTCTATCACTTCTTGCTGTGCAAATATGGGCAAGTTACTTAACCTCTGTAGTTTCAGCATCTTGATTTTAGGATGAGGATAAGAAATTATTTCCTCATAGGACTGGAGTGTCAGACAACCTATGTAATACACAGGGCTCTCTATCTGACACAGAGTCAGAATTAAATTAGTGGACATGACTGTCACTGTAATAAAGGCAGCATTATCAGGAGAGGTAATGAAAGTGCTTTGGAAACATCCAGGGCTCATGCTTGGTTTTGCAGACTCAGGAGGTGCCTGGTTCCATCACTTAACACTTGCTTCAGGATCTTGAGCAAACCACATACCTGTCTGAGCCTTGGTATTCTCACTTGGGAAATAGGGATTATAATAACCAATTCATAAGAATTATAATTAGGTAAGCACCTAGCGAGTCTTAGACCCAGGCAGTTATTATTTGTTAAGCACTTACAACTCTAACTAAATAATTAAGATTAGTTACCCTCTGAACAAATATTTCAGTAGTTCTTTTTCCACTCTAAAATAAAATCCATAATAATGGAACTTACACAAATTCATAATTTAAAAATAATGTCACAGCTCCAAAGAATAATAGGAACCAGAAAAATGAAAGTAACTTACTTAAAAGAGAATGACTTTAAGTATAAAAGAGAATGACTTTAAGTATAATGTAAGGAAAAACAAAGTACAAGTAACCAGTAACCAGTAACATTTTAATCTATAGATAATCAAATGCAGGAACATTAGAAGATGTAAAGGACAGGGTTGATGAGAATTGAAGGAAGTCTGTAGATATTGTAATTTTCTTATTTTATCAATGAACTACAGCTGTGTAAGATGAAGGGTAGCAAGTGATCGGTCCATGGTAATATTCTAATTTTTGTGCCTCCTTTTGCACCTATAAGTTCTTGAAAAAGATAAATTTAAAGTATTTTAAAAAGAGTTGGAGGCTTGCACCTATTTGCCAATTCCCTGTGAACCTGGTAGCTACAAATGTAGGCTCACACATATGGCCAAATGTGCCATAAATGATTTCAGTTTCTAAAACGGTAAACCGTTCTTGAAGTCCTGAGCAATACAAAATCCGGTTTTACCTTGATTTGCAATGACTGAGTAATTGGAGAGTTTGGTGATACTAAAACTTTGCAAAATTGCTTTGTGCTTACATGTAAAAAAAGGGGTAGGGCCAGACTCAAGATTCCTCAAATCAGGTTTCTCACATACACGCATGACTGGTAGATGTTCAAAGTTCACATGGGTCATGAGATAGTCTTTGCTGTGCAGGTTTATCCTGTGTGATTCCAGAGTCCAGCCTTCCCCCACACACCATCTCCAATCATGGGAAGAGCCACCCTTCTACCCTTTTTGTAGAGAAAAGAAACATCCACTGAGGGCCACCATGCTTTCAGGGTTCTGGTCAACCTCCTCATTCCTTACACTGGGACAGACTCTCTTAACACTATCTTGAGCTTGGGCTTATAGAGCCAGGCTTCCTACGTGCCGACAACTCTAGGGAATAGTTCTCATGCCCTCTCCCTGCAAATGCTCCTTAAAATCTGTTTTCCTTTAGCCTCATCCATGTCAGCATTCTTTTTATGAATGGGCCTTTTGGTGCCAGGCGCTGGGACCTGAATTTCTGGGTATAGCCACCATCATCATGGGAGAAGAATCATTCGCTCTACTTGCCACGGAGGAAGACATGAGGCTAATATACAATCCAAAGGGCATGCCTTTTGTGAGACCCAGCTCCATGCCTACACTGTACTGCTACTTTCTAGCCAGTTCTCTGGAAGTTGGAACCTGGTAAGAGTTCCTGCTGTACTACCCGGTGCATACCAATACATCCTCCAAGAATGAACTCCCCAATCAACCCTCACATTTTCTATGAATGAAATGAAAATGTGGAGCTGGGAAATAAATATGAACCTTGGCAAAACTGGCTTCAAACAGAACCCCAAGTACACAGTAGCTGGGCAAATTTAAGCAAGTCATTTAACTTCTCTGACCTATTATGTCCCCAAATTGTGTGAGGAGCATGTGGAATCATTTATATGAAAGAGGTCTATAAACCAAAAAGATTATATTAATATGATAAGTTGCTGTTTGATCCAGTTCAACGATGAGTTTAAATAAGCCAATGAATAGGAAATAAGGGACAAGAAAAATATGAGAAAAGGAAAAAATGGAAACAAAGTCTTTGTAAATAGGGAAGGGTGGAGGGGGGAAAAGGGAGGGCAGGGGTATGGGGAAAAAATGAGAACCAAGACCTGTCACGTAAAGGTACAAGATCCCAATGATGTCCGTAACTGTACTGTATACCTAAAATGTACCAATAAACTCAATAAGATTAAAAATATATAATAATTTAGTTCAAAAATAAATAAATAGAAAACAAATAAGCCAATGAATAAAAGAGCAGAACCTGGGGATCCTGAGTGTCAGGAACATGGGGCACATACGGTCTTCTAATCCACTGTCTAGACCAGGGGTTGGCAAACCTGGACCACAGCCTGTTTTTATAACTAAAATTTTATTGCAACAGAGGTGTACATTCAGTTACATATTGCCTAAGACTTCTTCAATAGCAGATTTGAGTAGGTATGGCAGAGCACTTCTGTCCCACAAAGCCTAAAATATTTGCCACCTGGCCCTTTTCCAAGAAAGTTTACTGATTCCTGCTCTCAGTCCACAGAAGATCTGTCCAAAGGACACATGATGTCACCACTCACCTCTTCAGTGATGTTCTGTTTGATGTGGACCCCCAGATCTGGCTTCTGCCCACACAGCCTCGCTCTTATGTGACAGGCTTCATGCTGTAGAAAACC